AATATTGAAAGAGCTGTGAAAAAGCATACTGCAAATAACCATGGTTATCTGAATCTTACAAAAAAAATTCCAAAGACTATATACTAAAATACTAATCAATCATTTGATTTATGTGCCTTATAACAATAATATGTAAGCTTAAATCAGAAAATTTTCGCTTACCAATTAGTAATTCTCCACTTTATTGTTATATCAAAGACCTATAAATATACAAGGATGTAACACAGCATAAATGTTATAGTCCGATATATAATAACCGTGTAACATATGAGATGACTTAGTTTAATCACTTGTGCTTCCATTAAGTTATCTTAAAATTACAGATTATAAGTGAAACTTTTATCTTATTTATTTTAAAAACCAGAACTAAAACAATAATTTGGCCATATCATCCAAAATTCATCACATTACACCTGCCCATCCAATGGTTGAAAACCAAACTAGCAGCAAAACACTAACCGACCAGTCAGATGGAACGCTAAATCACCAACCAACAATTCAAACCAACATTTATGTCACTCCTTCATTCTTATGTTAAAGTCGACAAGCATGCAGCGGAAGTTCATCTTTATTTGTTTGTTTATTTGTGGTCGGTTTGAAATGCTATCCGCTATGAAGAAGGAAAAGAACGAGTGGGTTGTCTTGTTTTTTATTTTGTTTATGTAGCTATGATATCATCAAATTTATGTGATTATATTGCAATTATGTTATCAGGGAAAGCTATAGTTTATCCAGATAAAGAGAAAGGAATTCCTGGATGATTAGATAATACGATTATTTCGGGAAATATCACTGGATGATGAAGTAAGCATAATTCAAATATCTTCAAAGTTCTGAACTTATATATATATATATTCTTATAGAACTATTATAGTTAACATTTGGATACACTTACGGTTATTTGAGCCGGATAAACTCTCAATTTTTTAAAGGTCATATTTTACAGTAGAAGAGTTATGAGTGATATTCGTTGAATGATGATCGCAAAAGTGGTAAACTAGACGATGGCATAGGATAAAACCATCCTGAGACTGAAATCCGTTCCTAAGCTTAAATGTAAACTTTAGCAGGTTCAGAATATGTATAGACTTTCGTCCATTTATTGTTAACACTGAGCTAACAGAGAATAAACAGGAATTGCTTCTGTCCTTTTTTTTTTTTTTTTTTTTTTAAAGAAGTCTTCTTTGCCTTCTTTATTTCTGTAATAAATGAATACCATATTCTTGTACAGCATGGTGTAGTTATGCCCTGGAATTAGATTAGATGCTACCTATATTTATGAAAAATCATTGTTGGCAGTCGTTTTTTTCCTCTTTTAAAGTGGTAAACAGTATAACGAGAGCATTTCATAACGCCAAAACATGGTTTAACTGATTTAGTTTCATATCGTCAAATTTGTATACTGTTTTGTGTTTTCAATTTTCTACTTTTGCTAATTTTATTGTTTTGTTTTATTACAATTATTCAATTATTGCAATATTACAATTATACAATTATTACGTTTATTACAATTATACAATTATTACAATTAGTAGATGTCATTGATGATAATGGTACGATACATCAGTACAAAATCAAAGGCGTTCTTGCTAGTAAAAGTATTACTCAAAAATGAAAGAAAGCGGTACTGCGATATTAAGGCTTCTATTCACTAACCGTATAAAATACAGTGGACTTTTTTCAGGTTGGCATAAAAGCAGTTTCTACGACGACATGCAAGCAATTAAATGTGTCGTCGTCGGAGATGGGTGAGGTCCTCAAGAATTTTTATTGTGTAGAACGGTAAGAAAGTTTATAGAGAGTGAGCTAGATCAACTACTGTTAAGTAAGGTTTGTGAAGATGGGAGAGAGTGCTGATTTTTTATAACTGAATGTGAAATTTTAGGCAAGTAGTCATTTTTTAGTGCAAAGTTATTTTTAAACTATAATTTTTATAATTTAGATTGGAGGTAGCAAATGATAGTGATTCATTGTTGGGTAATGAGGAATAGCAATTTGGGAGTATTGTTAGACACAGTTTGTTTCAAGCTGTTTGTTAATGGTTTAATTTTTTGAAATACTCTATCCGACCAAAAATTTATTTATTAAGCTGCCCTCCATGTGTATATTCTGATCTTGCAGTGCCGTGGGTAAAACGTGCCTTCTAATCAGTTACACCACAAATGCTTTTCCGGGCGAATATATTCCGACAGTTTTCGATAATTATTCAGCCAATGTTATGGTCGATGGGAAACCAATCAATTTGGGTTTGTGGGATACTGCCGGTCAGGAAGATTACGATAGATTACGACCACTCAGTTATCCACAAACCGTGAGCGAACCGTTGATTTTACAATTTGGCTTTCACTTTTTTTCAGCAATTACTTGTGTCATGATAACTTAAAATTTAATTAAAAAGGTAAGAGTGGTTTCATCTTTGACGTAGATCCGTTGGGTTCTTTAGAACTCTATGTTGTAGTCATTTTAAAGGTTTTTTTTTAACATAATATTCTATCTCTTTTGCTTAATTTTTACTTCAGTAAGCTATTTCAGGATGTTTTCTTAATATGCTTTTCACTGGTTAATCCGGCCTCTTTCGAAAATGTGCGTGCGAAGTGGTATCCCGAAGTTTCTCACCATTGCCCAAATGCACCAATCATACTGGTGGGAACAAAATTGGATCTAAGGGAAGATAACGAAACCGTTGAAAGACTTCGTGATAGGCATTTAGCTCCGATTAGTTATTTGCAAGGATTGTCAATGTCGAAAGAAATTAGTATGTTCTTTAATCGGAAAGATTCGTGTATGTTTCTTTACAAGATGAAAGTATTCGGATTAATGCAAAAAAATAATTTGATAGGAGGGTCATGAGCCTTCGTCCAGAGTTCTAAACATAGATGTGTCGAATTTCTGGTGCTGTCAATGTCAGGAGACATGTTGCAAGTTAGACAAGTTGGAAACCCTGCTTCTGTTTCAAGTGGCAGTTCATTAAGCTTTTCAAATAGATTATTTTATAAAATAATATTTGACAGATGCTGTGAAGTACTTGGAATGTTCAGCATTATCGCAAAAAGGATTGAAACAGGTGTTTGATGAAGCCATTCGAGCTGTTCTAATTCCTCCACCGAAACCTAAGCGGTCAAGGAAATGTACAATACTTTGACCTTGGAAAAATGGCGAGCTTGCAAGACGATTTTTATACGTTCATCGGTGGCCAATTACTTACCATAATGAAGAACGAACTGATTTTGCACATACAATACTAATAATGTTGTGTAGAAGATTATTGTGATACTTTATCATCTACTAACATGTGTATGCTGTACGGTAACAATTTTCTTGAAATTAATAAGAGGAAGGCCATATTGCAAAATATCAACATTTGAACAAGTATTTTGTCCTTTTTTCCACCTAAAAAGTTATCTGCTTTATCCGTTTCTTTCGTGGTTGTTTATTTGTGCGCAGAATTGAGAATCCTTAAGTTTTATAAAATGTAGCATCTTTTTCATATTATGTAAGTAGGAAATTTAGCTTACATAATTATTACACTCGATCATTCAGTTTCCAAAGTCTAAATAACATTGATGCGCAGGAATCAGTAGAGATTGGACCGCCCTGTAACAGTTGTGCCACCACCAGGAAACACTTTTCTTTTCCTTTTTAATTCAACGAATTGTTATCATAGAAATATGAATTTATTGTTCGTTTCGTCGTGCTACATTCATTTAATTTATTGTAACAGGTAGCAAGAAATATGTTTTATCGCTGAAGTTTCTTTTAGATAATTATGGTTCCAATTTTTTCTTCTTGAAACTGTGTTAGGGTTTTCACTTATTGTTTCCCCACAATTTAGATCTTTTTTGAGCAGTTGAGAGTTGAGACGGAAATGATGCATATTTTTTACTTCCAGATGTTTTAGAGGTAATAAAAATCGTAGAAAGGAGACGGAAAGTTCTGAGTTGGTTAATTGGTTTTTAAGTTTTTGATTTTAGGAAGAAAATATGCAGTATTTTGAACAAATTAGTTGTTGGTTTTTTTCGTATTGCTTGCAGTTATTTTATTGTTTATTATTGGTTGTGGAAATATGCTGGTGTGGCAACTGACTTGGTAATGTGTTTGCTTGTATGTGGATGTACGTTTTTACATCCATATCTGTGTTTGGTTTAGCCATTATTTGGTTTATATTACTGGATGTGCAGTCGTCATTTACATCATCATTCATTATTATAAGATTAGTATTTAAATTGTTCCTTGGAAATTTCGCTATCATTATTTCTTATCTCCTCCTGCCAAATTAACCAAATAGCAGATGATTTCATTATATGGTTGCATATTTTGCTTCTCAATTCACGGTTGCTGCTTTCCCTTTTCCATTCTTTTCCATTTTATGAGAAGTAAATTTGCATAATTTTAAATGGAAGTCCTCTCTCTTCTCTGCGAAAGTTTTTGAAACGTAGTATCTTTTTTCTTTTTTTTTTTAAGTTTTCAATTGTCCTATAATTGTATCAGTCATATAGTGCCTCTGTTTTTAACATCTTGTCGACGAAGAAAAAGCAAGAGAAATGCTTTGTATGAAGTTTAAGAAAAATGCTTGTTCTTAATGTTTATTCCATTGTTTTCCTTTCCTTTTGTATATTACATTTTATTTGATTTTAAAGATGCACCCAATCTTTGATTTGTTTCTTTTGCGTTCTGTAGCGAAAATTTTCAATCAGATAGCTGTCTGTAGTCAGCAAGATTTTTTATCGAATATAGAGACAACTTGATTCTGTTTTTTTTATTTCTTCAATAAGAGCATTCAACTGAAGATATACAGAGAATTGTTATTCATCAGGAATCAGGAAATGATGATGCTATGGAAACTCGAGATGAAGTCTTCATTTACTAATATTTCGTCGATCATCGCAGTTTATCTCCATCATTACTGATGTGTTAGGTAGTGGAAGAAAAAAAAAAATTCTGGAATTGGGATATTTGGTACATATTATTGGCAGCAAATTACAAACTTTAATAGAGAAGCAATGTTAGTTCCGTGTGGTAGTAGTAGTCTTCCGGCAAAACTTTCTGTCCGTGTAGTATCGGCTCGTGGTTTACCCGTTATGGATAAGTCTAATATCACCACGGATGCTTTCGTTGAAGTCCATTTCGATAATGAGGTTGAGGATTTTTTCCATTATTACCAGAATAAATTTTATTTTAATACTTTACCCCCTTAATCTTTAAATGTTCACTACGAACTTTTGAGAGATTGGAATGAGTAAAATATTTAGCCGTCGAAAAAGCAGATGAATCTATGCAAACATCTATCATCGTTTGCTTCCTACAATAGATCTTTATTGCGATTATCATCTGAACCAACAAATAAGTAACATACTGCATTCAGTGATGTTATAAGTTTCGTTAGTATTACGTTTTCAGGTTTACAAAACTGATGTCTGTAGCAAAACTTTGTCACCGGTATGGGATTCAGATGTGTTTGTTTTTGAGACAGATGAACAACAGTTATTTGATAATCCGGTCCAGTTTCGGTAAGCCATCGCAGAATAAGTTTTCGGCAGGTGTTGAAATCATAAAATGAATAACCAAAGTTGTAACCATTATAAGGAAATTACATTTTTTCTTAGTAATCATTAAATTTAGTGTAATGGATCATGACACATACAGTGCAAATGACGCAATCGGACGTGTCTTTTACGATGTCAGTTTATTAGTTTCTAAAATACGGTGCAGCAAAGCTGATGATAACAGCATGGAATTCACAAATTGGCTACCAATTTATGATTCGGTTTACGGTAATCTTATTCTTTTTTTTTTTTTTTTTGTTGGCAGAATTTTTTAAGGATTTTCTGGAGTCATGTTGCATATCTTTTTTTTTTTCTATCTTATATTTTCAGGAATAAGAGGTGAAATTCTGATATCAGTCTCGCTTAAGTTGCTATTATTAAGTGACCAGCAATATGTGCGCATACTTTCAAGTAAGTTATATATGAAATATATCTTATTTAGATTTAGTTTTAAAAACATAATGGATTTGATGACAATTATTTTATGAATTAACCATTAGTTTTTGCTTATTCATTGTGTTGCTGATCTGATTCAAATTCGGTGTGGAAGATTCGTGTATCTGCATATTATGGAAGTTTATTGAAAATATCCATGACTAAACAATGACAACCCTTTAATGTGAAATTATTTATATTAAAGAATGTTGAAAGGCTTAGGGTCTTTTAGCTTTCTCTGATTGCAGTTGATGGTAATTAATCATAAAAATAGTCTTCAGGGGACCTGCGGACTAGATGACATTTATTTTTAATTTAGCTAGTATTATCTCAACACTATCAATTAACGATATCATTGGACTGGTTTCTGACATTGCTACAGTGACTGATCCGGAATACGAGTGGATCGACCGGATCCGTTCTCCTCGTGCTTCTAATGAGGCTCGACAAAGCATAATTCGGAAATCACTGCGCGAATTAGCTAAAAATATTGCACAGAAAGCGCATTCTCTCGGATCGAATGCAGTGCTTGGGTAGAAGATTAATTTTAACTTTATTTATGGAATTGTCATTTACTGATAGAAATGAAAAAACCAAAATGTCTCTGATTTAAGGTATCATGAATTTGTTGATATCGAAGGTGATGCTACCGAATTGATTACATTTCGAGCATTTGGAACAGCAGTCAGACTGTCACAGACGGATGAAAAAGTTGCAGCTGGTGAAAATATAATGCATAATGTATTGTCATTGAAGGTTTTGCCGAATATATATAGTTATAAATGCGGTGTTGTTGTGTGCGCTCGTTTTGTTCACGTGCTGACAGATGACAATGATGCTACTACGACGAGAAAAAAGTTTTATTTTATGGTACTTCAGCTAAGAAATACAGTCTAGATACGTCATTATTGTTCTAGATTAGGTGTTATAAAAGTAGAAATACAGAAACGTATTTGTGGTTATTTTTCACAACCTTTGCTGGTTTCAACCACTAATGATCAAATAAACGGACGAATTTAAGAGAAAAAAAAGTAACAGTTTGAGCTTTTAGTTCCTTTTCAGAAGGCATATTATTTATTTTATGGAACGTATGATCATTTCCATGTATTTTGATGATATATATACTGAATGTTAAATAAAGACCTTATTGCTTTTCATCTTTTATTTCAGGTGGTGGGGCGATCTGAAGGTCGAACTTGTTCGTCAGGCATTAAGTTTACGCTATAATTTAATTATTGGCTACACTGAGCAAATTAGCATACATAAGAAAATGGCGTTGTTGAGTTGTACAGGAACTGCTGTATCTATGTTTTTAACGGGAGCTGAAAATATTCCGGATTGTACTATGTTCCATACTGCAAATTTTAATGGTGATGCATCGACTGATCGAAAAATCATTGTGTGTTCCTGCTGTAAATTACCGTATGTTTGTTTATTTTCGAAAAACTTAATTTTTCATTGTCATTTATATTTATCTAAATTTGCTTCGTGCCAAAAACATAACGATATCTAGTCATTTTAACCCTCTATCTTAATTTGTCCTTTAGTCACGCTATCATCAGTAATTAATAATTTGCTAGTGTTGGAAGAGCAAAAAGAAAACTTTTTTTCGCATATTCATTTTTTGTTAACTTTAATTACTGTTACAGTACATTTGAAAAACTTTTTCACTAGTTTCTCTATTTTAGTGATGCAGTTTGTCCCGATATCATCCTGAACACTTGCTCATTACCTGCATCAGACTACTTGCATAGCACTACTCGATCATTGCAAATTTGTGCTAAACGTGAGCTGAATTCCTCAGAAACCGATGATCAGTTGGCTTATGCTATTAGTGATGTAATTATTTCAAGATTTGATGATCTTCATTTTCAGTTTTAAAAAATTAAAAATGGAATATTCTTTCACAGTTTTTATTTTCAGTCGCTACCATTTTTGGAACATGAACTTTACAATAAATTGATGGAAGAAATACAAACTGGAAATACAAAATATAACGCAATTTTCGACTTGAAATCTGTCTTCATTATTCAAGAATATGCTTTATTTGCTGTCATTTCGGGTACGTTATGTACTCTAAAGGCACTAATGGTAGGTTTCAACAGCATTATTATGCTTTAAATATTTTGATTTGTTGTCATGACAAATTGATTTTTGAAAACGATTCAAAATAATTGCTAACTTTTAAATCAATTTGCACAGCTTATTTGCTGCTCTACTCAAATTACTGGTTGTTCCACCTTCATATTGTCTGATTTCGAGTTATAACATTATTTGGTCCATTTTTTTTTTTTTTTTTTAACAAGTTTCTTTATTAAAAAGCCAAGAAATGCTGGATATTTCAACTGATTTTCTATTTAGAAAATCGATGGTTCTCACATATTTAATTTCTCTGATTTTGACGACGTTCGGCCAACGCCACGAGTGGGATTATTGGACGCGGCTCGCATTTTGCGTGCACCTAGATTGTCCGATAAAATTGGATTACACTTGCAATCATTACATATCCGGTTCTCTTCACATTTAATGATTTTTATTACTGAAAGTTACTACGTTACTTTTCAATATGTCAGTTATTGTTCGACGAGAGAGCATAGTTTTAGGTGCTAAGCTACGAATTTCTTATCAAAATACGTAAAATACGTTTCAAAACATAAGAATGCTTCTTTGTACTTCAAGAAATGAATCAGTCAATTAGTATACTTTGTGAGTAGTTACTTTTCTTCGAAAAAAGAAGGCGAAATGAACTTTGTAGAAAAGTATAACTAGGCTTTCAGGGAACATGCAAATGTTTCCATCAGCAGGCCACCACAGTCAAACTACAAAAAGATAGTTAAATGTTTTCGGAAGAAAGTTGTTGATCGTGAGCGTTTAGCGAAGATGATTTCGGAACGTGAAGTCAGCTTACAACTTGGTACATTCAATGACATGAAATCGTCTACCTGGTCGCCTATCACGTATTCTGGTATCAAGATAACCAATAGTTCAAAATTTAATATCAGTGCAAAAACTGCAAAATCTTCAAATATTCCACAACGGTGAGCAATCACACTTCAGTTCTTACCTTTTCATCGACTGTCAAAATTGATAAAAATCCTAAATTATAATACCTTATTCTTTTTAAAGGTATACTGGAGTTTTAATTCGTGAAATAATAAGAACAGTGGATGATATTGCTGATTTTGATGCATTTCTGGATGGAGCTTTACGTGATTTAGTGAACTTAGCAACTCGTAATGTAGAAACTGTTGGTGCCACATCATTTTCTGTGTTCAAAGTACCTTCAGTGAATCTTTCAATCTCTCGTGATCAGGCATCAGTCTTATTATTTATTACTACAGACTTTGATTATCCAGTCAATTTATAGAATTGCTGTTAAATCAAACTAATAATTTGGGAAGTGGGATGTTGGGTTTCTAGCTATCAATTTTTTAAATTTCTCTATCGACAATGAATTTTGTAGCGGAAATTAAAATATAAGTAAACAAAAAAAAAAAAAATTGAAATATATATAAGTCGTAATAAGTAAACAAATAAATATTAAACGTGATTTAGTTTAGTTCACCTTCCAAGATTTATTCGTAGTTCCTATAAAATAGCTGTATGAAAAATCCGATGCGTAGTAAATATAAACCATTCACCAGTTGATGACGTAGTGATGTAGCTTCAATAATAAAATCTGAACAAGATGTGATGAGCAATTGTAAGCTTTGTGAAATATCTAAGGATATGTATTTAACAGTCGAAGAATGATATGAAAGAAAAATTGCAAGGTATTATCATGTCAATATAAAGTAATGAGATCGTAAATATTTCTTGCTATGTTTATATTCATAATATTTCTTAATGTCATTTATTGGATTTTTTCCATGATAAACCGTGATATTAGTCTTTGATCTGTTATTTATTCCGATCTCATCTTTGTGATTTTTCGTCGTTATGATTGATTCATGGATCGTGTTTCTTTGCGATACTTTGTTACAGGTCTTTCTTTCAACAGATATTTTGTAGTACATTGAATTAATTTTTCATTTTTCTTCAAGCAGTGCCAAAACTGTTACATTCATGATTTTTCTCATTAATTAATTGATTAGTTTAACAAAACAAAAACATATATTTGGCGGAAATTGCCCTGGGTTCAAGTGAAATTGCATATGTAATTTTGATTGAAACGTAACTTATGCACTCTTGAGTTATACGATTAACTTTCATATGAGCTAATAAAAGCATATTGCTTTGCTTGTAACGGTGTCAAAGTCATCCCTAGCAGGTTTTCTTTTAATTTGATAGAAAAGAGCTAATTATGAGTCATCTGTCTTTTCCTAAAAATTCTGATTGGATAGAAAGTGCGGTGACATTTTTGCATAGTACATTGAGGGAGAGAGAGAGTTACAACTAACACATCGAAGTGTTTTTGGTGTGCAAAATGTCGGTTGCAATTTTAGCTTTAGCTTTGTTAGATCAAATAGCATTTAATGAGCACATGAAAAAAGAAGTTGAAATTGTTTTATTTTCATTTTTTCACATTCCATTAATAGTTTTATTTCGATTACAGCGTACTGTAATTCTTGTCATCGTATCGCAATCATACAATTTCAGTTTTTGATTGAAATGTTTGAAAGAAATCAAGTTTTATTTGTAAACCATTTAATTCGTTTATAAATCTCATCACCATTCTATAAGTATGTTTTTTCTTCTTTGGATACTAAAAGTTCATTGAAATGCACCTGAAAGTAATGTGTCGGTGTAATTGCAACAAATTTTAAATTGTTCAAAATGTGCGAATTAATTCAATTTAAAATTACACTTTTGGCTGTGTAAATTCTTCGAAATAATTTCTTAATATCATACATTCTAACATAAAACATAATATTTTCTTATCATTTCTGCTAACGTATCTTTAGTGGAATATATCCATCTGTGAAATAAAAAATTTTTTTAATTTTAGATCTTTCGAAATATAAGAACCTATCCGAATCTATCAAATCATTTTTCCTATTTCTCTCCAGCAATTAAATCAACTGAAAACTTTTTTTTTTTTTTTTTTTAAATTAAAATCTATGATAAATTTTCTAATATCATATTTAATAAATATTATTGCTTTCAAATAATTACTTGCCTTTATCTAAATAATATGTAAATTGTCAACATAGTCCATATTCCGCCATAATATATCATATTTCAGTGCGGTTACTTTACTTTTTTTTTTCATTTAACATGTTAACATCATATATTTTCCAGTTATAAAAGTAAACCTAAAATATTAGATGCTGAATTGATGATAAAATGATTTCGATTACAGTCACATTCTTGGAACAAATGTTAAATCTACCACAATTTATCAAAAATAAAAAAAAATCAAATTTAAAAGGGTAGTTATTATTATCACTTCCTAAAACTAATCTCTGTCAGATTTTTTGCTTTTTTTTTTTAAATTTATAAGCTATTTTTTTATTATAATACTTTTCTTCATTAGGTTAAATAATGTAAGATTAATGTAATCTTTGTTTTTAAAATTTAAATCACATCTATTTTTTTCCTTACTTTTGAATCTTCTAACTTTAAAAACTCATTTTTATCGGTACAAATGAATAAACTTAATTAGAATAAATAATTGGAAAATTTAATAAGTTTCAGTCAAGTTATTTTTTTCAAATTTGCTCAATAAATAATTAAGAAAACGACATGATTTCATTGTTTCAAAATGATCAAAAGATTAAAAATAATTACTTCTGTGTAACAGATTAATAAATTTTTTTTCTTAGGTAAAACTTTTTGTCCTATACTTGTATTTATCATCCAGTTTTGCTTCTATTATCAAATAATTTCCTCAATGTTTGCAATAAAATTTCGGATTCAAAAGCAAATTCAACGATTTATCATCCTGATATTATAAAATATCAGAAAAAGAAAACGAATGGAAACATTGCTATTACTAAAAAAGTCTTTGTTTGTCGTTTTTTAAGATTTAAAATGAAAATAAACAAGTCAAATTTTTTTCATCCAAACTATAATGTGATCGATGACAAAAATTTTGGACATCCATCCGCTTGGAAAAATTTAAATTTTTTAAAATTTGAAACCAAAATTCAAACAGATTACAAAATATAACTTTCATATTAAATTTTTCTCAAATGCACCAATAAATTTTGGCGTTTTTAGAGCTTACTTACATGAATAACATGTTTACCATTTTTTGAAATCACCCTTTTTCGTGATAATTTTTCAGAGGATTAAATTTTCATTATTTTCATTTATTTAAAGAATTTTTCGTTTTCCTATGATTTTAACCAAGAGGAATAAATAAAAGGGAGACAATGAAATGCTGATGAGGATATTATAAGAAAATAAAATTCTGAATTCGAATTTAAATGAGCAATGAAGATTGTAAAAAAAATTCACACAAAATAAATCAAAGAAAATAGAAGCCAGGATTGAATTTCATCCAAGTTGTTATAGAAAATTCTTTTTCTTTTAGAAAAGAGCTTTATTAATATATCTTAAGAAAACTAAAAAACTTTTTTTTTTGTCTTTGAAATTTTCTAATAAATTTTTAGAATATTAACTCTTACAGAATGAATAATAATATAGTATATAAATTAAGAATATAAATAACACTGTAAAAGTATTTCAGTCATTAAAAAAAACATTTCAATGGATCGAATAATCGAAACTATCTAACAGTGATTATTTATATTTTTTTTTGAAATATGCATTACTAATATGTGTAAATTTTGATTTTTACGTAATAAATACCGTATACCAATTGAAAGGTTTGTGTTTGAGCATTTATACACAAAAAAAAAAAAAACGAAAAAATAAGTTCTTCAATTGTTGAAGTTTTAAAAATAGAATAAAATATGAGAAGATGAGAAAGATAAACTGCAATAACAAACTAAACGCTTTAAAAAAGATTCCATTTTTATATTTCATTTTAAAAAGTTGCATTAGTTTTCAATCAAATCATTATTAAGATTCACTAAAATTGACTTTTTTTTTAAAAACAAAAAAACAAAATTGATAATAACAGTTGATATATTTCAAAATTGGAACATTCATTACTAAATAGTCAATTTTTCATTGTTTTCAAATCCTCAAAGATAGCCCTTAATTAATTAATTAATTAATTAATTAATTGGTGATTATTACCTGATTTTTTTCTGCAATAAATTCATAATATCAGTAAACATTTCATAATGACAATTAAAAAAACAGAACAAAAAAAAAAGAAAATCGTAACATGATTTTTGAGGTTTAAATTAATTGATTGATTAATTAAGCAGTGATTTGTTTTAAAAAGAGGAAAAGGCAAAGAAAAGCTTTTTTTTGAGATAATTTTAGAAATATTTGAAAAAAAAATATTCTATTTATGCACAGCTATTTGTTATTAAAATGGTAATAAAATTTCCTGTATAAAGCTATAAATCATATTTCAATAATTAAAATTGCCCCACTTCCTTGCTTAATTCTTGTTTTTGTTTTATTTGATGGCTAATTGTTTGATATTTAAAAGTTCAAAAATATTCAAGTTTAAAAAATATTCAATTATTTACTTATTCTTTTTTTCAACAGCATAAATTGTTTGAAAAATTGAAATAATCATTAATTTTTTTCTATTATTAAAATAATTTGAAATATATTAAAAAACATTCCTGCAATTACAACAAGCAACAAAGTTCTAAAAAATAATAGCATTAATCATATTGCTATGCGACTAATTAAATGCACTAATATAAGCTTGATTAATATATGTCCTTATCATATAAATAAATTAAGAAAGGATATTTCATTCATTCGATAAAAATCTCAAATTGAAGATTTTTATTTGAATAAACTTTTAAAATTCAAAATTCATCATATAATCAGCAAAAGTATTACTGTAGATGTAAAAAGAAGAAAAATTTATATATGACATTTTCAAATATAAATAATGAAATAATTGCAATTTGTTGAATTACATAAAATTCTTAAAAGAAAGAAAGTTAAAAAAAATGTGACATTTGATGGCTCATGTTGATTTCTCACAATTTAAAGAATTAGTAATTTCAACGATGCATTTTGAATTGTGATTTAAGAAAAGAAATGAATGGTATGATAACATAACATTTCATAATTCAATACAAAACTCTTTCAGAAACCATAATAATGATAATAGTAGTAATAATAATAGTAATAATGATAGTAATAATAATAATAATAGTAGTAAGAAAAAGAAGAAAAAGAAGAATAAAAGTAAAATATCACTTATATCATATTGATTTACAAACTGAAAAATTAGAAAATTTAAAAAATTGAAAAAGAAGGGTAAACGACAAAGCAATGAATAATGTATGAAAAAAAAAAACTACTTATTATGTTATACTCAGA